AATCCTCAACCCTCAGCCCTAAGCCCTGACCCTAAACCCTAAACTCGAAACTCTAAATTCTTTTTCGGGATAAGAGGGGTTCCAGGAGCTGGCGCATCACGCGGTGAAGCTCAATGTGGAGAACACCATGGAGTGCCTTCTACGGAGCGAGGTCTTGAAGGAGAAGGTCCGCCGTGGGGATGCTTGGCTTGTTTAACGGCCCTAAACCCTTAAACCCTAAACCCTAAACCCTAAATCCTAAACCCCTAAACCCTAAACCCTAAACCCCTAAACCCGTAAACCCCTTAACCCCTAAACCCTAAACCCTAAACCCCTAAACCCTAAACCCTAAACCCCCAAACCCTAAAGGGTTTTGGGGCTTAGGGGTCAGGGTTTGGGGATCCTAAACCCCCAAACCCTAAACCCCAAACCCTAAACGGCTTTGGGGCTTAGGGGTCAGGGTTTGGGGATCACGTTCGAAGGACATGTTGAACCCTTGAAGGCCCTCCTCACACTTTGTGCAGCCACATACCTAGGGGATCATACCCTACCCCTTTAGGGTTTAGGGGTTTGGGGTTTAGGGTTTAGGGTTTAGGGTTTAGGCCTAGGGGATCATACCCTACCCCTCTTTTAGGGTACCTAGCTTTATGCCAGGATCTCTTATTTATAAAGTACCTAGGTGCCCGAAACTGGCGGTAGAGTATGGCCCCATAGGTATTTTTTCTCCTTGAGAGCGTTTGCGAGCTGGAAGCAGAAGAACTTAGCCTATGAATCCGAACTTTCGGGGAAGGGGGGGGGAGTCTAGGTTGTCAAGGGGCCTAAAGAAGTAGCAATCCTATTTTGGGGGTTCTTGAGTACAGCCTTAAAATCCGAAACCCGGAAGGACCACCCTAAACCCTAAATCCTCAACCCGAAGCTAGCCGCATCCCGAAGGCCATAAAGCCCACATCCTCAATGACACACTCCCCAGAGAGGCCAATACCCCTTCGTGCTTTTGATCCCTAAAAAAGGGCTTAGGGTTTAGGTTTATAGGGGCCGCTAATATTCTGATTGAAGGTATATTCAGTACATTCCTTAGACAAGGGGTATCCAATTACCCTAAACCCCAAACCCTAAACCCTTAAACATAACGAAGCCCTAAACGCGCGAAGCTGAGGAGTTGGAGATTCAAGGTGGTATTTACCAAGCTGAGACTCATTGCGTGGCTGGGTCCGAGAATCCCTGTGTTTAGGGCATAGTAGTTTTTTTTTGGGGTTACCATACAGGATTCTACATATGAGCCCCAAAAAGGAACTACTTTAGGGATAATGGGTAGTGCTACTGGGCCTGACGAGTACTTTTGCCAAGCGACAATGTATCAATGACTTGTAGATGCAACACCCTAAACCCTAAACCCTAAACCCTAAACCCTAAACCCTGAATCTCAGCTTCAGCATATGATGGGACTCAAGGCTGATAAGCTCTGACCAATCAGCAGTGAATCTTTGCAGGTACGTGGTTCCAGCGTCCCAGAACGATATCAGCTGATATTTAGGGACCACAAGAGGACATAAGCATAAGCATTTCAGAGGGATATCCTTACTTTTCTGGGCTTCATTATAAGGGGGTTTATATGGGATATCCCTATCCTAATTTTTGCTTATGTGCTTTTTTGGGGCCCTAGATATGGCATATCAGCACACTCTGAAGAGCCTCTTTGTTAGATGCCCACTCTTCAGATGCGGGGCATCCCCCGGCGTTTTAGTAGTTGTGCAGAATCTCGGCTGAACTACTCTTTCATTCCTGGTAGTTGTAGTAGAAGACGACTAACTACAACTTGGAAAAAGGTTTTCCACACACACGGCTCGAAACCCTCTGCAACACTTTAAACTTTAAACCATCCTAAACCCTTCCAAACCCAAAGCAGACATGACCCTAAACCCTAAACCCTAAACCCTAAACCCTAAACCCTAAACCCTAAACCCTAAACCCTCGGCCCGAACCGAGGTCGAATATCTAGCCTTGGAAATCCTCATCGTCCTGTCTCATCCCGAGAAGAACCCCAGTAAGACCCGGTTTAGGGTTTAGGGTTTAGGGTTTAGGGTTTAGGCTTTAGGGTTTAGGGTTTAGGGTTTAGGGTTTAGGGGTCCCTCTAGGATCCAAAAAGAAGCCCTTTTCAGCACTACAAGCCGTAAAGTTCAAACCATAAACCCCAAACCCCAAACCCTAAACCCTCAACCCAAAAAAAACCCTAAACCCTAAACCCTAAACCCTAAACCCTAAACCCAACCTGAAGCACCAGAAAACCCCCAGGTGGACTTCGTTGGCCATTGCAGTCGTCAGGGCGAGCTGTTGGCCCTCGGGGAGAATGATTCTGGGCGGTTTTTTGTATTATAGGATGTTTAAGGGGGGGGGCTTCTAAGGGAGGGTACATAACCCAATGATCACTAATTTTCCCTAATGCTCCCTACGGTTCCCTTGAAGCCCACTAAGGATTCCTTGTACCTTCCCCCCTTGAACCACCCTCCCTAAAAGGATCCTATAAGTTCCGATTTTTAGGTTTAGGGTAACCCTAAACCCTAAATCCTAAACCCTATAATGGTAGTTTGGGGAAAGATGGGGGTTGGCGCTTGTAGGGGTTTATAGGGTTTCGCCGGGGCGTGCTTGAATGGTGCTTAATTAGGCATCATTCGGCTTCGTAAGGGTTTATAAGCACAGAGAACCCAATACCCCTTTAAGTAAGGAATATACCTTAAATCATAAAATTTATACCCTTATAAGGGCCTTAATATTATGCTTTAAGGTATATTCCTTATTTAAGGGGTATTGGGTTCGTTGGGTACAGGTAGGTTCGCACCATTACCTCGCACTTCTATAGGAATCTGTTGGGCAAATCTACTGCGAAAGAGTGCTACACCCTAGACCCTGAGCACCGAGACCCTAAACCCCAAAGCCCTGAAGCCAAGACCCTAAACC